TTATTTATGAATTAGTGGGTCACATATGTTAAAAGTTAAAATATTGAAGTAAATATTCCTTAAAAAGTATATGCCAAAAAACATATACATTAAACCTGAAGTCTTCATTTAAGAATGGGAAACTGATCAGACTATTTTTATATTTTTACTTTTTTTCATAAAAAAAGTTTTATATTTATATAGTTATAAATCCAGTTTTAAGGATTTGCATGAAAAATAATCAAGGGAGATAGTAAGAATATCTTAAGTATATTTTAAGTCAATACTATTTCTGGAAATACAAAAAGTGACACTAGACCTGTCTTACATAGATAACAGGAAAGTACTCTGTCCTGATGTTATATATTTAACATAATCCAACAAAAACAAAAAGAAAAATTTACACTCTACACTTAAGAACAGCACTCACTTATTCAAGAATAGCTATCTACATATATACAAACAACTATGTGGCTAAATAAAGTTTCCCAAAACATGCATATTATGAGGCCATTTATAATTAAACTTATAAAACCAGACTATATTGTATATATTTCAGCTGTTGTGATTAGTTTTTTGTAAACCAGGGAGTCAAAACTTTAGCATCTATTCTATAAAACTAAACACAAAACACAATCAAACTCAACAAATTTACTGAAAAATTTTATATATTTCAGCAACCGGTCATACTTCTGGTCATTAAATAAATGTACTCCAAGATGCAGTTAGTCTTTTAAAATTTTTATTTCTACTCTTAAAAACTATTAAAATCAAATTAGATGTTTTGAAAAATTTTTTAATGTTCTGAACAAATTACTTTCCACAAATAACTTGCCATAAGCAGTAGAATTCTAGCTAAGAAACTTACCTTTCAAAGAGAGTAAAAAATATGTAGATTTCCTTACTGACATATAAATGTATAGGGGGGAGAGAGAGAGAGAGAGAGAGAGAGAGAGAGAGAGAGAGAGAAAGAGAGAGAGGAGAGATGAGAGAGAGAGAGAGAGAGAGAGAGAGAGAGAGAGAGAGAGAGAGAGAGAGAGAAGAAAGGCACCTGCCACACAGGCTGGCAGGGGGTGGCGTGTAAAGGGAGGGAACCTGGGGACACTTGTGCTGGGACATGTACACTGGTGGAGGGATGGGTGTTGGAATATTGTATGACTGAAATCCAATCATGAACAGCTTTGTAATAGTGCACCTCACAGTGATTCAATAAAAAGTTTTTAAAAAAAGTACAGATTAATGCTGTATAATAAAAATTTGGGATACAAAAGTTTTAAGTTTTCACAGTTTATTTACACTAACTAGCAATAGCATCAGACCAGCAATTTAACTTCTCTGTGCATTAGCTTCATTTCTAAAAGAAATTAAAACCTTCTCTAAGATTCTTTCCAGATCTCACATAGTATAATGCTGTGCATCACAGGAATACTTCATTGATATACTGAATTTTCCACAAAATAAGAGAACTGACATGGGCTAAAATGGCATAACTAAACTCTTCCTATCAGGAAAAAAACAAAAAACACAAAGATCATGTTGAAGATCAATTTCTCAAAATTTACTGGACTCTGATTTTCTGTTTACCAATAAATAAAATCAAGTACTTTAATTCCATAAATTATTTAAAAATTACATTACAAATGTATTAAAATACATTAAATCCATACCACAGCTTTCAAATTTTCCTAATTCTAATTTTCATTATTTTCATTCATCTACATTCAAAAGAATCTATATATTAAGATAGGTACTTCATATTTTTGCCCTTCATAGAACTAGAAGTTAGAATAAAGAGTAGAAGATTAGTCATTATCGAATTCTGTCAAATTTTAATGATGCCTAATTATAAGTGCTAGAAAAAAATAAACTAAAGCAAAATTTTTTAAAAAATGGAAATAATTTTGCTGTCAAAGCAAATAAGATGAAGTAAAAACACACCTCATCAGGGTTTGTCAGAAGAGCAGGACATCATATGTGTGGGCTAACACTCTGCTTCTCCTTGACTTCCCAGGCCAGTCTGCCTCTATCGGACGGCTTGAGAATGTTATAAATATCCAAATGGTCCGTGGCAGAGAAAAAGGTTTCCACCCTAGTCTTAGATTATAGGGGTACAAAAGGGAAGTGGAACCGAGGAATAGGCAATTAGATAGCAATGAACGATGCTAGAATATTGGTGGTGGGTGTAGAATGGTTGGTATATATAGTCATTGAGACATGAAACTGTACTGAAGCTTCATAGTACTGAAAACCACTACTTTATGCCTATGTATTTTTTACGTAAGAAAAAAATTAAATAATAATTGGTTTTTCTGCCATTCCTTACAAAGGGGTGTGGGCGAGAGGAAAAGATGAACCAGAAACCTGCTTAGGGAATACTGTACCATAACAATTTAGAAATTTTTATGAGAAATTAAATATGCCATGAAGCAGTACTTTGGTACTAGTTCAGTGCAAGCGGTTTTTCTTTGTCTAACTACAGGCAGCAAATGAGGCACTTAATTGTTTCACTTAATTGTGAAATAGAAAAATAGGGTCTATTTAAGAAAAATTTTAAAACCACTCATACAAGGTAATTAGCATTATTCAAACAGTTAAAAAAGTCTGTTTTTATTGAATTTGCATTCAGAGTTACACATGCTTCACTAGAGGAAGTTCTTTCAAACATAAAATGGCTGTTTTGTTTATAAGAGACAGAAAATACTTGTTTTCAAAAGATTCCAGATTTCTGAAAATGAAATCCATATCTTCTCAACCTGAGCTACATATTTATACATCAAGGAAAACCTTACTCATACTGGATAAACATTTTTCACTATTATCAAAGTAGAACATGTGATCCCTAACTTTATTCTTGAAAAATCAGAAGGTCTTATTTTATATAAATTAAGAGTACCTAAAAAAAAAATAAAAATTAAAAAAAGTATATCTTATAATTTAAACAAAATAATGAGTAAACATTTAGCACCTAAATTTAGAGATCACTTAAATATTGCCATAGTTTTAAGCAGTTGTATGCCCACAGAATGGTGGAAATCAGAAATTATTTATCAATATTAGAACATTCTCAAAGACTTAAATATCAGACTTAGGCTGGGGCTGAAGATGGTGCTCAGTGACAGAGCACTTGGCTTGCATGTCTGGCGTCCTGGGTTTGATCCCCATCACCACAAAAAAATAAATAAAATATCAAGCTTTCAAAAACTATTCTTGATTTGTGAATATATCTATAATATTCAAACACAACACTATTACTTCTTCCAGAAGTCACAGACATAAATTTTTTTAATGAGTTTACTGAGGCTTATTTTTTTTCTTAACCACCATTGTTTTTGAAATGTGGCACTTTCCCAAAGAAGATATTTTTTTAAATACCGTTCTATTGGGGCCTGAGAGATAATACAACAGGTAAGGTGCTTGCCTTGTACACAGCCCACCCACATTCTATCCCCAGCATCGCATCTGGTCCCCTAAAAAACACCAGGAATGATTCCTGAGTGCAGAGCAAGGAGCAGCCCCAGGACATCGCCAGGTGTGGCCCCAAAACCAAAAATTTAAGTAAATAAAAATCATTTTATTTGACTATCATGAATGTCTTTCATTATGAGACTGAGACCAAAAGTTAAGCAGGGGGCCTGGAGTGATAGCACAGCGGGTAGGGTGTTTGCCTTGCACGAGGCCCGACCCGGGTTCAATTCCCAGCATATGGTCCCCTGAGCACAGCCAGGAGCAATTCCTGAGTGCACGAACCAGGAGTAACCCCTGTGCATCGCTGGGTGTGACCCAAAAAAGAAAAAAAAAAGTTAAGTAGGGAGTCAGGGATGGAGCATTTGCCTTGCGTGAATGAGATCCTGGGTTCAAACCCAGCACCATACACTCGAAACAAAGTATTTCCCTTGGTCAATGGTAGAGCACATCTGCTCTGGGTCCGATCCCTGACTCCACAAAAGAAAAAGTAAGTGACTGTGGACCTTCGAATAAAATATATAAAGAAAATATAAAGTAGAAACAGATAAAATTACATTAATTTCTGGTAACATGTTGGCACAAAAATGTTTATCTGTGGGATTAAAAAGTATAAAGAAAAGAAAAAATGTTTAGAGTGACATTATTCCAAGTGAACTGAGCCTTGCATCTGCCCTCTTCGTATCTAAGGAAATGCACTTGTGTGGCCTCTTTAAATGAGCCTGACCTGAGTTCTGGATGGTATACTGTTTTGTATGTTAAAACTGATAACATAACTTTCATATTTTAGTGCTAGAGATCAAACCCAAGGCTTGAAAAAGCCCATCCTCTATCACTCATCTATATTTTGAGCCTGATAAAATATTAGCTACAGGCTTCCATGAAATAACTCAATCATCCCCACTGGGGGGGAAAAATCCTATAATCTCATTTTTTCCCCTATTCGCTTGTCTAAAAAGCTGCAAAAAAATAGTAATAAAGAGTTTCAGGACACGGGGCAGCCTTGAGGCACACACCCAGCAGTTCTCAGGAGTTGCTCTGACTCTGTGCTCACAAACCGCTCCCGGCAGTGCTCAGAGGGACCATCTGTAGTGCCGGAGATTGAACCCTAACCTCTCATCTATTAAGTATCTGCTCAGCCCATTGAGCTGTCTCTCCAGCCCAAAATATAAACACCTTTTTTAAAATTTATTTTGTTTTTGCAATGATAAGGATTACAGGGAAGAAAAAAAAATTTAATGTTGTTACTCCAAGTATCCTGGCAAATAGTACATAATCCTCCTTGTCATTTACACGTCATTTCACAAATTACACCCCTTGCTACATAATTCCCTAATAGACAGAATTTAAATTGTAGAATTTATTTTTCAAGGTAAAATTTCTACCTAGTTACTTTTCAAAAAGAAGTAAGAAATTCGAAAAAAGAATACACATGACCAGCTGTTAGGAAATAAAGTGCATGAAGCTTTATATAAATAGTTTGCAAAGTAAAAAGCTAACAAAATATTCAAGTCAGTGCCTAGAATACAGAAATTACAAAACAAGAATACCAATACTACATAAATAGTAACAAAATTGGGGGAACATTCTCCTTCAAAAAAAAAAAAAAGGTTGACTCAAAAAAATTCTTTACTGGATTTCTGCTTTCCATATAACAGACAAGCTACACAGTAATACCAACAGGTAATACCTGGAATGAAGAATCACATTCTGATTGCTGCTCTTGACCTTCTGTATTTAATTTACAATTCTCTGGTGTCTGACTGATTTCATCCTCCGCACAAGGCGACAAGCCAGGAGAACCATCAGTAGAAGCATCGTCAGACAAAGCTTCTAATTTTTCAGGGGAGCGAGCTATGGGGAGCTTGCTACCATCTCCTGCTCCCTCGTCAAAATCTGTCCTTTCATCAGCATCTTCAAGCTCTTGAACTGAAGTTAAATACTGTTCAAGCAGACTATTATCCTGCTCATTGTTTGAGCTTTCCTTGCTCCACTCACCATGCTCTTCACTAACGTCCCCTAAGTCAGATTCTTTGCCATATTTGACCGTGTCAAGAGAATTCGCCATTATGGAATTCTCGCTGCCTTCTGTGGAACTTTTTTCAAAATCCAAAGAATCCTGCAAACAGTAAGCGTGGTCTGTTATAGAGGAATGAAAACCAGAGTCTGGAAATTCTGGTAAGGACTTCTCTTGTGGTGCTTCATGAGGTGCAAGGAACCAATCAGAATTCGTTTCTGAAGCTAGCTCCTGACTTTGGGTGCTTAATGGGAGTTGTGCTGGCATCAGAGTGCTTGATGTTGGAGAATTATCAGTATGCCATGAACTCAGACGCTGGTCCACAGTCTGCTGCCAAGCTTGAAGAGATCTTACCTATAAACCAAAGAGTATGATTTTTATTAAAAAGCTAAATCGGAGCCGGAGAGAAAGTATAATGGGTAAGGCACTTGCCCTACACACAGCAGACCCCAGTTCAGTCCCTGGCGTCCCATAGGGTCTCCTGAGCATTGCCAGGAATAATTCCTGAGAGCAGAGCCAGAAGTAAGCCCTAAGCACTGCCGGGTGTGGCCTACAAATAACTGAAAAGCTGAAATCATGTCTGTTTTACAATCATCTGATAAATTTTGCAGAGTCTGAAGGGGATGGAGAAGGCATTCTGGCTCTTGCTACTTGGTCCGGAAGTGTTTGAGGGTTACCAGAACTACACCTGACACTCTAGGGGCTAAGGGATGCCAGGGATTAATCCCAATACTTCTTGTGCTCTACCACCTGGACCTTCTCTCCAATCTTGACCTATTGAAAGAGGAAGCCTCAATTTCCTCTTGCCTGTAAGACAGAAAGCCACAGTTTCTTCTTTCCAGATGTTCCATTTCTCCCCCATCAACCTGACACATATTTAATTAACCCCCACGGTTCTGTGTAGGCATTCCCGGGTCTTCCAGGAATATAACGCTCTGTCCTGGAGTCCAAGCTGATAGGGAAACTAAGATAATTAGCAATTGGGCCCGGAAGATTTGTTTTCCCTTGCCTGTGAAGAAGGAAGTTACTGTTTTCCTTTGCTGCCTTTCCCTCACTGATCTGCTGCATTTCATTCCCAAAGTCCTACCCCAGAGGTCATAGAGATTTCTAGGACCATAAAACTCTGATCCTAGGCCAACAGGGAGACTAAAATAAAGGCAAAATGCCCAAAACAGGGCCAGAGGAATAGTACAGCGGGCAGAGTGCTTGCCTTGCACACAGCTAACCTGGGTTCGATCCCCAGCATCCTATATGATCCCCTGAGCACCACTAGGAGTGATTCCTGAGTGCAGAGCCAGGAATAACCCCTGAGCATCTCTGGATATGACCCAAAAAAGCAAAAGAAAAACAAACAAACAAACAAAAAGCCAAAATACCCAAAATGATTTGGACCAGCAAGACATCATTGTAATTCTCTGGCACCTTTTGTAAACACTTGCCAGGTGATAATGGCTCCCAGGAGTCCTTAAAAGGTCTATACAAGACTTCATTTCTTTATTTTAGTCCTACACCAAGTTTCTTCCCAGTTGGGGCGCTCTTTTCTTTTCTACTTTCTAACTTTGAGTCTAAGCATCTTTATTATTTAGTATTTTCATTGTTGAAAATATTGAAGAACTTGGGGTAGGTTCTGAGGAACTTGGGGTAGGAACTGAGGCCCGCCACCGCGGCTTCCCCCTCATCTTCAACGATATCAACTTTCCCCCACCAATACTCAGGAAACGGAAATGGCAGGTGGCAGAACTGGAGTTAGAAGGGTTCTGTCTGACCTTACCCTTTCCATGGCACTCCCAGTCTAAGCCAGGTTGGGACATGAGGTACATATCCTCGGCCGTAAACATTCCTGGACAAGAGAGTGGGATTGGGCCAAAACAATTCCCCTGCTCCTGCTGGAAAAACAATCAAAAGCCCAGTGGCACATACCCAAGGCAAGAGATCAATAATGAACTCAACCCGGCAGTGTTAAGCATAGGGAAAGAACAGCTCCTTGGCCTTTAATATTAAGAGTTAATGAACGACCAGTAGCCGAATGACAATGTTGGAAAAAGTGACAAGCAAGGCACTGCTGCTCCCACCTCCAGCACCCCATCTTCTGGGCAGGAAACCAAAGGTGACTCTGGAATCTTATCCCAGCAAGACAGTCCAGAATGAGAGGAGAAACACAAGGGGTGTTTTTCACATATTTTTATGCACAGAACGCATATTTGTTTCTTCTGCTCTTTCCCAAGACTGTTGCAGAATGATCTCTCATATGGGAAGGGGCTGGAGCGATAGCACAGCGGGTAGGGCGTTCGCCTTACAAGCGGCCAACATGGCCGACCCGAGTTCGATTCCTCCGCCCCTCTCGGAGAGCCCGGCAAGCTACCGAGAGTATTGGATATGCCAGACACAGTAACAACAAAGTCTCCAATGGAGACGTTACTGGGCCCGCTCGAGCAAATCGACGATCAACGGGAGGGCCTTTACCTTTACCTTTACCATATGCGGGATATAAAGAAACATAGTAGGGGAATATGAAATGTTCAAAGGCAATAGCAACAATGAGCATGAAATTGGCTTCCAGTAGGAAGACGGGGTAATTCCTGAACGCAGAGCCAGGAGTAAACCCTGTGCATTGCCGGGTGTGATCCAAAAAGCAAATAAATAAATAAATAAATAAATAACAAAATTAAATTTGTTTAAAAAAATTGTTTTTCTTTTTACATTTTTTATTTTAATATTGGAGCCTTGTTATCTAATCAGTTTCAATTCTTGAATTATATCAACATTATATCAACAGTTGTGGCTTTTGCCTTCATTAAAATAAATAAGTCCTCTGAAAATTTAAAATAAAAAGCTCTCGTCTAAGTCTCATTGAATAAATAATGCTTTTTTAAAATGAAGCAAGATTGTGGGAGCCAGAGAGATGGTACAGTGGGTAGGACATTTTCCACATGCAAGAAAAGCACCCTACCTGCGAACTATCACTCGCCCATGCCTCCTACCCCCATAAACTAACAAAAAAACACCCTTTTCTGATGGGATGGTGAACTTTTTTGCTAGACCTATACTTGGGCAAGAAGCTAGTCATGACTTTCAGGCTTGGGGCTGGAGCGATAGTGGAGCAAGAAGTATGTCTGCCTTGCATATGGCCGGCTAGAGTTTGATCCCCAGCACCCCATATCCCTACCCTGACCCCCATCTCCAGCCCTCAGGAGTAAGCCCTGAGTACTGCCAGGTGTGGCCCCAAAACAATAAGTTTTAAAATATTTTAATGCAGGGCTGGCCTGCCATTCTCACAAATCAATGATGCTGCACCTAAAATTCAGGCTCCCAATTTAAAGTTCCTTCTTGGTCTGAAGAAATCAGGACACTCGTATGTGCCCCTAAGTCCTGCCGCAAGTTTCTTCTCAAACCAATGATCAAGCCCTCACCCTCTAACACCGTCACTGGGAGATTTTCCCAGTAACAAATATATACTGAGTTCTCTTTAATAGAACAGATTAACCCCCTCCCCTCTCCCACCCCCAAAATAACCCTACCTCTAACCTTGAGGAGGAATGACAAGGCTGATTATTCTAAGATTACCCAATTACTCTAAAATTTTTCTGTGTTCTTACATTAGGCAAGTTGGCAGGAGGGGGTTTACCTGGTTCCAAAGGAATCTGACAGCTTCTTCTTGCACAAATTTCTTAATACGTTCTTCATCTCTTTCTTTTCTTAACCTACAATAGTTTAAAATCCATTACTGACAAAAGGAAAGGTGCTTTGACTTGTATTTCCTGCTACAAAAAAATAAACATGTCCATTATAAAGGAATTAATAATTTATAACAGTCCTTTCTACTTTTAAAATCCCTAAGCAGAAATGTAATTTTAAACTAATACTCAGCATTGATACCAAATGAGATGTGACTGAAATTCAAATATTTGTTCTACAAACTACTGTCAATGATAAAACAAATAAATAAATAGAATGTCAAGGTGGTTCTTCAGTCAGCCTGGTTCCTAGTTAATTATACCAAAAAGGCCGGAAATGCAGAAAGGAATGGTTTCTCAAAGCTTTCAAAAGAGTTCATTAGGGGGCCACAGTAATACTACTCCTGGGAATATATCCCAGAGATGCAAAGAAGTATAATCGAAATGACATCTGCACTTGTATGTCCATTACAGCACTGTTTACGATAGCTAGAATCTGGAAAAAAACCTGAGTGCCCGAGAACGTATGATTGGTTCAAGAAACTTTGGTACATCTACACAATGTGAAAGGAGCTAGGAAGGCTAGGAAGGAGTTAATTAACTTGGAAAATTGCTTTCTGTAAACAGTTCAGCAGCCTTGAGGTTACAAAATCGGATTGAATCCAGTAGATGTGTAAGGTGTGGGTTAGACATAACGATTTAAAGATAGATAGAGTGTTTTGACCATTCTGGAAACTGAAACTATGTGACCGGGTCAAGGTGTTTGAGTTGAGATACTACAAGAAAAACCGCAAGGAACCTAGCAAAACATGTATGTGCAAAATATGTAGTCTTTGTTCTCAAACTGTATAAAAGATGACCTGTTTCTGAGTTCGAGGCTCTCAGCCTCTGCTCGCTTTTGGGTATGTTGCAGAGCCCCAGCATGCTGGCTTGAATAAAAGCCCACTTGAATTCCTGCAGGAACGTTGTCTGTCTGGTCTCTCCGTGCCTCCCAGGGCTAGGGAACTCCTGACCCCAACAAATGGAATACTATGTACCTATTAGAAAAGATGAAGTCAAGAAATTTGCATATAAGTGGATCAACATGGAAAGTATCATGTTAAGTGAAATGAGTCAGAAAGAGAGGGGCAGACATAGAAAGACTGCATTCATCTATGGAATATAAAGTAATAGAAAGGGAGACTAAACAAGAATAGTTGAGATAAGTACCAGGAGGTTTGCTCCACGGCTTGGAAGCCGGACACACATGCCAGGGGAAAAGGCAGCTCAGATAGAGAAGGGAATACCAAGTAAAGGTAGTTGGAGGACCCACTCGGATGTGAGATGCATGCTGAAAATAGACTACAGACCGAACACAATGGCCACTCAATACCTCTATTGCAAACCACAACACCCAAAAGGAGAGAGCAAAAGGGAACGCCCTGCCACAGAGGCGGGGTGGGGTGTGGGGGGGATGGGGTGGGGGTGGTGGGAGGGATACTGGGACCGTGGGTGGTGGAGAATGGGCACTGGTGGAGGGATGGGTACTTGAAAACTGAAACACAAGCATGAAAGTTTGTAAGTCTACAACTGTACCTCATGGCGATTCACTAATAAAAAATTTTATTTTTGTTTGTTTTTTGGGTCACATCCAGTGATGTACGGGATTACTCCTGGCTCTGCACTCAGGAGTTACTCCTGGCGGTGCTCAGGAGACCATATGGGAAGCTGGCCCAGGTCGGCCGCATGCAAGGCAAACGCCCTACCTGCTGTGCTATCTCTCCAGCCCCTAATAAAAATTTTTTTAAAAAAATTTTTTAAAAAGAGTTCATTATGGGGCCAGAGAGCTAGTGGGTTGGGCACCTGCACATGGCCCACCCAGGTTGGATCCACGCAACCCCATATGTCCCCTGAGCCTGCCAAGAGTTATCCCCGAATGAAGAGCCAGGAGTAAGTCCTAAGACAGCTGGGAGTGTTCCAAAAACAAAAAAGGAGTCGATTACAATTACAGCTTGAAATCTCCACTCAATCACATCTAATCTCATAGGCCATCCATCCCAACTCCTACCAAACTCCTTATGATCAAGACCTCTAAGTCTCATTTCCCATCATCCATTAAAGATTTACCCTCTGCCATCCTCTTCATGCTTATATCCATGACAAACCTAAGGTTCTCTCAGTTGTCCAACACAAGGCTGTTACCACCATCATTTCATTCTGACTTTCTGACCCAATTCTTGATAATTCCAATTTCTCTAATTCCCCAAGCCCTTCGGCGCCACCTGGGATTCCAGAAATGTACAACTGTTCTTGTGCAATGATTTTAAACATATAAACCACTATCTCCCTGTTCTCAATTACTCTTACACCACACTGCAATGACACAGACGTCCAATTTCCATCTCCAGCCTAATGGTCCTTCTTCTCGTCTTCCCTTCCAACTTACTGAAATCCCAGGATCTATCATTATAAGGTAGCACTCCCAAATTTCTTCACCTCCTTCCTCTTCCTTCTGCCTTTCATATTCCCCTGTGAGGCAGGGGACTCATTCCAAGTTGAAACAAATTATGATGATCCAAATCAGAAAAGAGAGCTGAGAGATGATGAGAAATCACACTACCTATTCTGTTCCTGTGCACTCTGTTTGCCCTCATACCATACAGCAAGCCTCTGTACTCCTATACATCCAATTTTAAGATGGATATTCACACATGACACATTTTATTTGGGGTTGGGGTTTTCTGTGTGTGTGTGTGTGTGTGTGTGTGTGTGGCTGTTCTGAGTTTGGGGTTTCTTCCTGTTCCGTTATTTGGTAACCCAGGGTCTCCCACATGCGGGGCAAGCCCTCTACCCGAGATGCATCCCTGACCTTCAGCTATAATTTTTTCTTCTTTCTTTTCTTTTTTTGGTTTGGGGCACATCCAGCAGTGCTCAGTGGGGCTACTCCTGGTGGCTCAGAGGACCATCAGTAGTGAGGATAAAACCCAGAGTTCAAAGCCTGCGAAGCACACACTCCAGCCACTGGGGCTCTCTCCTCAGCCACACTTCTGTTCTTAAACCTCCCACACTCACCCTCTTCTTTTTTTTTCTTCTATAAGACCACATCTACTGCAATTTTTTTTCTTTGTTGGGGAAGGGGGGAAGGGATATTGGAACACCTGCCGTGGTCGGAGATGGGACTAAGGGACCACACAAGGGCTGAGGATCTATCTGGGATAAAACACACACAAGGCAAGTGCCTTCACCCCTGTACTTTCCCCACAGCACAGGGGTGAGAGAATGCCCAGATCGTCACTTCTCAACTTGAGGAAATGCCTTAAGCCCTGTACCATCTTTTCTGGCTCTACTGTTTTTTTGCCATACCAAGCAATACTGGGGTTACTCCTTGTATAGTGCTCAGAGTCCATTCCCAGTAGTGGGGTTGGGGCAGGGAAAGGCAGGAAACTCAGGGCTTTCACATGTAGAGTATGTGCTCGGGTCCTTTGGGATTATGTTATCTAAATATGTATCATATAGTTCGGTCTTTATTAAACTGGTCCTCACTATAGCACAGCGGGTAGGACATTTGCCTTGCAGGTGGCCGACCTGAGTTCGATTCTTCCATCCCTCTTGGAGAGCCCAACAAGCTACCGAGAGTATCCCGCCCGCACGGCAGAGCCTGGCAAGCTCCCCATGGCGTATTCGATATGCCAAAAATATAGTAACAAGTCTCACTTGTTACTATGGAGACGTTACTAGTGCCCACTCGAGCAAATCGATGAACAATGGAAGGACAGTGCTACACATCACATATTATTTTAACTAGCAGAGCATCCATCACACATGACTTCCCCAACCTCCACCTTCCGACCTGCCACTGTACCGATTCCTGCTCCTACCTCCAGCCACTCCCTCCACACAGCCGCTGGAACTTCCTCCTTTCCTCAACAACTCCAGTCCTACACATCTCCTTCCTGCCCTACCATCAGTTTTCCTCTTTATCAAATCGTTTCAACACACACATGTATCGAAGATCCCTCAATTTTGTTTTGTTTTGCAGGGGGTGGAGAGGGCGTTTGGATCACACCCAGCAGTGCTCAGGGGTTACTCCTGGCTTTGTGCTCAGAAATCACTAATGGCAGTGCTCCAGGGGCCATTCGTGGTGCCAAGGACTGAGCGGGGTTAGGCCGGCCTCATGCAAGGCAAGCACCCGCCTGCTGCACTAACACTCAACCCCACAGAACTCCCACTTGAAAAAAGACAAAGAATCTACCCGGGGGCGCAGGGTTGACTCAGGGCAAATCATCAGCGCGGTGTGAAGCCACCAGCTCCACTCCCAGTGCCAGCTGTGCATCCTGCCGTGCAGGACCCTCTGTGTGGTGACATGAGTATGTGATCTCCAGGCCACCCCAGCCAGCTTCGGTGGAACAGCACCGCCTGGCCTGTGTTCAAGCCCCGTCATCAAAACAGCAACAGGACCGGGAGGGTGAAAAGTGAACAGAGAGAATATTCGTGACTCTGGTCTCCTCTGGCACCCCAAAATTAAACTACACATTCAACTATTATTCAACACATTCCAAATGTCCTTCAATCTGCTTCTGTTTTTTTTTGTTGTTTTTTTTTTTTTTTTTTTGCTTTTCAGGTCACATCTGGTGATGAACAGGGGTTACTCCTGGCTCTGCACTCAGAAATCACTCCTGGCAGTGCTCAGGGAACCATATGGGATGCTGGAAATCGAACCTGGGTTGGCCATATGCAAGGCAAACTATCCGCTATGCTATCGCTCCAGCCCCTCTGCTTCTGTTCTTAAAATGCTCCCTAAAAAGTAAACAGTTTGGAGTCAGAGTGAAGTGATAGTACCAAGGGTAGGACACTTGCCATGCATGCTGCAGAACCAGGTCTCACACCCCTCCAGGCTCCCTTCGATACCCACAGCCCGCCGGGAGTGATCCCAGAGTATAAAGCCCAGAGAAAGCGTTAAGCACCACAGGGTGTGACCCCCGATCGCACCCCCCAAAAGAAATTTCAAACACTGCCCTTGACTGACTCCTGAAAATAACCTCTCAGCCCTTGGACTCTCCTGCCTGAGAAGAGTATTTTGTATACCTGGGAAGCAAGGTTAACACCAGAAACTTTATGCCAATAATGTGCCTTCATCAATACCTGTTTATCCCCAGGTGCCCTGGCCGCCCCCTATCAGCCTGACCTTGAATAGAGGTCAGTTAAGACCAGTTCCAAAGGCACTCGAGGCCGACGCGTCTGAACCCAGTTAACACCCCCAAATCTCAAGGCTTTGAGTGAACTTCCCTGACTGGCAATCATTCTAGGCTGTTCCACAAGGTCACCTGGAGAGTGAAGCTGCACAACTCCTCTGGGAGAGTACAACGAGAAAGAAGCTCCTGCCTGGCGTCTTCTGGACTCGCTCCTGTGCACCCTTTTTCTTTGCTGATTTTAGCCCGTTTTCTTTCACTGTGATAAACCATAATCTGGAATAGCTGTCGTGGAGTCCACAAAATCATCAACCCTAAAAATTGTCCTAGGAATCCCTGACACCAACTCACCAATAAGCCTCCAGTTTTTTGGGGGGTTTTTTTTTTTGTTTTTTTTTTTTTTTTTTTTTGCTTTTTGGGTCACACCCGGCAATGCACAGGGATTACTCCTGGCTCTGCTCTCAGGAATTACCCCTGGCGGTGCTCAGGGGACCATATGGGATGCTGGGAATTGAACCCGGGTCGGCCACGTGCAAGGCAAACGCCCTACCCGCTGTGCTATTGCTCCATCCCCAAGCCTCCAGTTTTTAAGTCTAATACTTAGTTCTCTTTTTCCTACAGCGGTTCTCTTCTCTCCTGAAACATGGTCATGTCCGGAATACACTTTCCTAGTTTTCCTAACACTCCACCTGTACCTTCTTGAATTCTTTTACAACCTCCTCCTTTTCTCCTGATAATATTCAAAAATTGGCAGGTTAAAATATGAATACTCTAAATTTACCTAAATTTGAGGGGGGTGGAGAGTATTGGCAGTTGAAATATGTGAACCGCAGAAGAAAGGAATAATTCCTAAGTAAATAAAAAAAAAGTTCCCAGAATTTTATGGACTTTTAAGTCCCTGCTAATGTTTTTTAATCCTTATGTCACCTACTAATTCTATGCAGAGGGTCTCACCTGCTCAGTTTCACGCCTATTCAGGCTTTCTACATTTTATTTACACTTGGGTTTACAGGTGCCAATAAGTGTGTGCTTTCACTGTTTATTGCTTGACTGCATCATGTACCAATCAGCATTCTAGAGGTGGAGGCATCTGACAATTTTTGCCCACAAGGAGCTTCCAGTGTATTGGAGAAGACAAGTAAACCAAGAATTGCCAGAGTGTGAAAAGTGTTCTGACCATCGCCACGAGGGACTCTGTGTTCTGAATCCATTCAGAAATGACTCTGGAACCAGCAAATCAACAACAGGGCAACTAAACAGGATCTTCGACCCACCTCCTAATTTCATCCGTCAGGCAGACAATGTGCTCCTGCATTCTGCGCAGCCGGATCTCATAGCGCACGTCCTTGGCCCTCGGATTCAAGTTCCTGGCACGGAAGCCTCGCCAACAGGCCTGAAGCTTGGTGGCCGCCTCGTTCAATTTCTGAAGGGCAGCTTTATCTTCTCCCGACACCACAGGTCTCTGGGCTGAGCCCCGGCAGGGAAGCTTCTCTGAAGACGTCTGAGACAGGGTTTCTTCCCAGTCTGGTAGTGTTCGGAGGATACTGTGTCCAAATGACTCAGGAAAAGGGGTAAGACTGTGCACACCTCCCTTCAAGCAAGCACTGGTAGCTGTTGACTCAGGATAAGGGAACGGCTCCCCTTTTCCACTTACGTCTGTACTGATCATTCTTTTCACCACTGGAACAGAATTTCCATTTGCAGCCCAAAGGGCCATTTCCTCTTCCTTGTCCAACTCATGGTTTTCTAGTCCTTTCACGGCCTCCTGTGACACGCCATCCTCTTCTGGGCCCAAGTTAATGCCTTGTAACCTCAGCTCAACTGTGGGTGAAACTGGAGAAAGTCCTGAAGCAACTGGCATAAAAGTAGACTCTGAAGAGAGCAGACTGCAGTTCAGCTTGTCCTCGTCTGTCTGTATGTCTTCCAGGTGCAAGTCATTTCGAGAGTATCTTGCAGTGTGCACAGAGGCAGCTGGGAAGTTATTCTTCGCAGCATACTGATCGTCATTACTGCTGACCCCCACCCAAGAATTGACTTGGATGACAGGTTCTAGAAGAATCAAAAGAGGACCATTTATATGTTTTGTCTGGGGGCTTCACTTGACAGTTCTCGGAGGTTACTCGGGCACAGTGCTCAGGGGGTCACTCCTGGCAGTGCTCAGCAGAGAGTACAGTGCTGGGGATCAAGCCCCAATGTATTATACACAAAGCATTCAGAAGAGACCTTCGAATTATCTCCCAGTCCTAACAGAAGATTACTGAAGCTGCTAAATAGTTTTTGGTTTTTCTCTTTAGTCTGAGTTTCACTGAAGTATAATATAAAAGTTGTAGATATTAAAAGTGTACATTGTAAAAAAAAAAAGTGTACATTGTAACTGGGCTGGAGCCATAGTACAGTAGGTAAGGCACCTTGCACAGAGCCAACCTGGGTTCGATCCCCGGCATCCCATATGGTCTCCCGAGTACCAGCAGGAGTAATTCCTGAGTGCAGAGCTAAGAGTAACCCGTGAGCATTGTTGAGTGTGATCCCAAACACAACAAAACAACAACAAAAAAAGCATTCATTGTAAGAGGAGTTTCCCCCATCTATTTAGACATCTATCACTTCACAGTTTTCCCACATTTTTTGGAGGTGGGGGTGGGGTGAGTAAAGAGGCTTTTGGTTTGCTTTGGGGTCGGTTTGTTTTTTGCTCACACCTGGCTATACTCAGGGATTACTCCTGGCAGTGCTCTGAGGACCAAATGTAGTGCCAGAGATCAAACTGGAGCAGTAATAAGCAAAGCAAGCACCTTATACCCTTAACTATCTCTCCTGCCCTAGAGAGGTGCTTTTAAAAATATACATTTTTTTTTGGTAGGAGGAGGGGCACACTACTCCCTGGCTCTGCACTCAGGGATCATTCCTCAGGGCCTCAGGGGACCATCTGTGGTACCCAGGAATAAAACCTGGGGGGTACTAACTAGGGCCAGAAATACTATCTCTCTGACTGCAGCTCAATCTCTTTCAATGGAGTCTAATCCTTTAAATAAAATAAAATGCCTTCAGTGATCTCCTCCAATATGCCTCTAAAACATTAAATACTTCAAAGAAAATAAGTTCTTGAAATAATTCTAAGAATAAACAAAATATCAGATTAATACAAATTATAACAGTTCTCTGATTGCTTTTAAAAGTTACAGGCATAGGGGCTAGAGATATTAAGTAGGTAAGGCACGCAACTGACTCAGGTTCAATTTCTAGCACCCCATATGGTTGGTCCCCTGAGCCCCACTAAAAGTGATTCCTCGCACAGAGCCAGAAGTAAGTTCTGAACACCACCATGTGTGAACAACCCCCCTCAAAAATAAATTACGTGTAAGCAATAATACATATATGTGTTTATATACGTATATAAGATTAAAATGATCCTCTAAGTTTCAAACTAATAAAAGTTAAATATGTATTTTTTCTGTTTTCTAACACCTAAAAGAACAAATCACTTGGAGGTAAGAAATAGGAAATCAATTAACTTTTTACCATTTTCCTGGACTATCTGGCAATCCTGAACAGGGCTTGAATTCTCAGGTGCAAGGGGTGCCTTTGTTTCAGTAGGAGCAAGAGAAGACAACTCTTCATTTTGGCTTTGGTTCATTAACTGCCTCTGGTGAAACCTAAAAAAAAATATATCAAATAACACAAGATATAACAAACCACAAAGAGAAAGCTTTTCTGTTTCCTAGGTTTAACAACGTCAAAAAGTAAGAAGTTTACAACTTATCAAAGTAGATACCTTTATATGCAAGCCCTGTCCAAGTTTAGATACCTTTAATCATTATCAACTTACAAAGTCTCATTTGACATCACTGGATAGAAAAAGAAACTTACTCCTATTTCTGGTCTGGAGATATAGCACAATTGACAGAGCAACTGCCTTGAGTATGAGTTTAATTCCCAGCACACAAAAGCATTTTTTACCTTTTTTGTTGTTGTTCTGTTTTTTGGACCACACCCCAGTGGTGCTCGGGGCTTACTCCTGGCTCTGTGATCAGGGCTCACTCCTGGTGGGACTTATGGTACCAGGGATAGAACCCAGTCAGCAGTGTGCAAGGCAAGTTCCCGCCTGCTGTACTATGTCTCTGGCTACAAAGGTCTTAGTTGTTGCGTGGCCCACAGTTGGCAGTAACACCTGGCAATACTCAGGGAGCAATGCAGTACCGGGTCTAGAACCCAGACTCTCACATATCCAAGATTTAGACAGTAGACCAGTGGTTTGCAACTACTGGACGGGTGGCAGGTCAACAGGCATAGAAAGGTTGAAAACCACTGCCCTACCGCCTGGCTTATCATTCCTGGCCTGTACCAGTGTGCAAGACTGGTGCCAGGTATAAGGGTTCTAATGTGATGGTCTGTGCAGGTATAAAAAGGTTGAAACATGCCGTGCTCAATAACTTGAACCACATCTAGGTCCAAGAAGGTCCATTCTCGTCCCACCTGCTTTGGGGTGAAAGGCATTCCTGGCTATGTTCGTAGGCACAAGGGCCATGCCCATATTTGGTCCAGTAATGCCAGGCCTAACAGGTGCTCGGATTTGGCCATGCGGTGCTCTTGGGTTGGCTGTGCTGAGGTAAATTATTTTTACTTGTTTTGTTTTGTACTGTTTTAGGCCATACTCAGTGGTGTTTGGAGACTGGCTTGGTGCTCCAGGGACTACATGATGCTGGGTATCAAACATAGGGCTCCCACAAGCAAAGCATGTTCTCCAGCCCTTGCAGAGACAAACACCCTCGAAAACATGTATAAGCACATTCAAAGCATGGTCTCTGGGATAAATGAAGCAAAGAAGTATTTCTGCAAAATGTGTTTGTGTTTTTAAAGGGAGCACTCCCCAGGCTGGTGATACGTGGTCTGAGCACTGCCAGCCTGCCAAGGATTGAACTGAGGGCCTTCCATATGCTAGGCATGTGCTCCACCAGTTTGCACTATCTCTGTATTTATATACATGGCTTTTAGTTGCGAGGACAACTAAGGGGAAGAGGATTTAGGTCATACTGGGTGGTGCTCAGGAGTGACTCTTGGCTCTGTGCTCTGGCTTCATTCCTGGCCATCCCTGGGGATCCATATGCACTGCCAAGGGAACAACCCAGGGCGATTAGCAGCATGCAAGATAAGTACCTTAACCACTAAAATATCTCTCAGAGCCCTATGTTTAGATTGCAAGCGCTCCCATCTGCTTATGTTTTTCTAAAAGAAAAGAGTACGCAGGTAAAATGGCGAATCTTTCACACCAAGTTAGTAACCCAAAGACAAAATTTTAAGTGAGGCTGAATTGGTGAATCACATTTCTGCTCTGTAAATGACAATCTGTTACATATGTAAATGAAATAGACCTAGTCTAATGCTGATAATGCAGTGTTATGATTCTTCCCAGCTGCTCATCATCAAGTTTCAGGGGGCTGGAGCCATAGTTCTTGCCTTGCATGCAGCCAACCCGGGTTCGATCCCAGGCATCCCGAAAGGCCCCCCAAGCACCGCCTGGAGTGATTCCTCAAGTGCAGAGCCAGACGTAAGCCCTGATCACTGTTAGGTGTGGCCCAAAAACCAAAGCCGAAAAAAAAATTCAAATTCAAGTGTGAGTTTCAAAAAAGGCATGGGAACACGCAGCACTTGAGCATTTGGTGTCTAGGAATCTTTCCACTGGCTGGCCCATGGAGACAGACTGATGGACGAAGGACCGGGGAACGGAGAAACAGGGCCACTGGCTGGCCGGTAGACAGTCTCTCTCTCCTCTCTAGAGTAGTCTGATTTTTCCCTTATAGCACAATTACAGTCACAGTTTTGGTCGTAGTCCCAGTCATTATAGTTCCATCATCCCAGCCTCCTTGCAGACCTCAAAGTCCTCTACCCCTCTTACCAGTAGGCTACTCTGGCATCGAAAGAGGACATCAAAAGGTAGCTTATATCCAGTCCCTTCATCAGGACCCTGCTTTTGGAGTGCGAGAAACGAAGGGCAACTGAGGCTTAAGTCAAGTAAATATGGATGCCCAGGAGTAAATATCATATTGGAATCAATTAATTCCTTTGTATCAAAGCATAGCACGAACTGTCTTCCTGTGTCTATATAAAAAGGACATTGCTAAACCATACAAGTGACATAAAGGAAAGAGAAGAGCAATATAGGACTAGGAGTGTCTGATGGAATTGGGTGTGTCTCAGGGTCACAGTGTGGGATGGCTCCCTAAGCTCCCTGCGGGAGGAGCAAGGACACCCAATGTTATCCAGCATTCAAGAAATACAGGACTGGGGCCTGAGGGATAAAAAAATGAACAGGGCATTTGCTTTGCACATGGCCAACCCAGGTCCAATCCCCGGTATTTCATATGGTCCCCTGACCACCGCCAGGAGTAATTCCTAAGTGCAGAGCCAGAAGTAACCCTTGGGCATCAGCAGGTGTGGTACTAAAAACAAAAAACAAAAAGAAAAAAAAGAAAGGAAAGAAACGCAGGGCCTGAAGGAATAGCTTTGTGGCATAAAACACCTTCTTTAAAGCAAGAAAAAGATCCCAATGCCACCATCTGTGCTCAGCACGATCCTAATAGTTCTGCTCTCCGTGATCCCCAGAGCCAAAACCAATTTCTGTCACACCGCAGTCAGGGATGAATGTGCAAAACAAAGGTGTTTAAGCCCCAGTGAGCACACAGCTAGAAGTACAACCCTTAGGAAGCACCTCTGCAAGCAGTTCAGCAACCCCACTGGAGCACTGCACCCTCACTGTGCTGGGTATGTGGTAGCTCTACGCTCACTTCCCAGAGGATATGCCAGAGTAGTTTCCAATTTCTTTGCATGCATTTACATTTCCACAATCTCCTCACTGTGAGTATTTTAAATACATGCATTAAAAGGAGAGCTACTTTTTTAAATCCCCTACTCCGTACTGCTTGGCCCCCTCAGCAAGAAGCAATTCGCAGGTGCAGTTGCTAAGTCATACTCCAGTGCATGACTCAGCTCCCCTGCAGAATGCTGCAGTGACAAGAGCACCCAGAAATGTGGGCCACAGTGCTTGCCTCAACACTGCTGCTGCAAAGACCTGGGTATTTCCACTTGGGGATTCATCAGCTGCAACAAATATATGAGATTACCTCTGCTTGCTCAGAATCTTCTCTAACTTGGCATCCTCTGCAGTTTGAAGACCCAGCGTAGAAGAGAGCGGACAGACTGTAGCCAAATACTGGACAAGCTGAATGTGCTGGCCAGGCCGATATGCTCTTCCTTTGCCTTGGCTGTAGAGCCACTCAGCTTTCAAACTGAAATTGGGGTACATAAGAGGAGATGGCACAAAAGCAGACAAGTGCATTTTTAGTAATAATCATATTTTTGCTTACTATACTTTCATAACACTATTAAATGTTTTTCATGAATAATATTGAGACATTTCCCAAACTGTAACTATATCGACTGACTCACTCTCCCCCTCTTTTTTATTTCTATTTTTTTGCTTTTTGGGTCACACCCGGCAATGCTCAGGGGTTACTCCTGGCTCTGCACCCAGGAATTGCTCCTGGAGGTGCTTAGGAGACTATACAGGGTGCTGGGGGATTAATACAGGTCAGCCGTACGGGGCTGGAGCAATAGCACAACGGGTAGGACGTTTGGCTTGCACGCGGCCGACCTGGGTTCAATTCCCAGGTCCCCCGAGCACCGCCAGGAGTAATTTCTTAGTGAAGAGCCAGGAGTAACCCCAGTGCCTCACCGGGGGTGACCTAAAAAGCAAAAAATAAAATAAAATCCAGGTCAGCCATAGATAAGGCAAATGCCTTACCCACTGTACTATCATCTCTCGGCCCCCACAAATCTTCTTTTATTTTAGTATTTTTCAGTAATTCCATTAGTTATAACAAGCAATATAACGAAGTACTTGTTTCTCTTGAAGGTACAGAGAAGAAAATGCAAGTAAACCTATATTCCAACTTTAGAACTAGTTAATCATAATTTGAAACAAAGATTTCTTCTCAAAGCAACCTCCACTACAGACAAAATGGAAAACCATATTTCGTTGACCTATGTCCCTTCTACCACACCAGTAGCATCACAAAAATCTAGTTTCTGCATGCCATTCCTCACTGTCCCAGCACCCTATTCAGATGGGCTAAGGGAAACTGCAGGGAAGGAAAAGGAAAACGCTGCCTTTAATTTACTACTTATCCTCAGATCAGGTAATCCCTCAGCAGCTACTGCCGGGCTCCTAGCACAGAGGACAAAAACAGTGAGGAAGAAAGAATGTAAGTGCCGAGTCCAAGTGTGCATACGGATGAACTGAAAGGAAGCGAAAGGAGACCTGGTCAAGCGAACAGAGTGACACCAATTTTCGCTACTCCAACCTTCCTGTCCACATCCTGGTTCCTTATCGCCCCTAAAGTTCTTTTCCCACTGATCAGTGCCAGCATCCAGAAGACCCTACTATAAAGGGGACTCAGTTCCAAGCTATAGAAACAATCAATGATCTGAAGATGAGTTTCCATTTCAGACTGGAGAAGGGGAGGAATAATCAACATGTCTGCTCCAAGTTCCAAAATGGAATTTCACAGGTATTTTCCCACCAAGTCATTCTTATAAGGGGCAGCAGATCCTTAATTTCATTCTGCATTTATATCTCTATCTATGATGGATGATAAGCTTTTATGGGGCTAATTAGAGGCCCTATATAGATAACATGGTCTGGAGCATAGCATAGCGGGTAGGGCATTTGCCTTGCACACGGCCGACCCAGCCAACCCAGGTTTGATTCCTCCGCCTCTCTCAGAGCCCAGCAAGCTACCAAGAATATCTTGCCTGCACAGCAAAGCCTGGCAAGCTACCCCTGCCTGACGTATTCAATACGGCAAACACAGTAACAAGTGTCACAATGGAGATGTTACTGGGCCCACTCGAGCAAATCAATGAACAATGGGAGGACAGTGACAGTGACTTAGATAACATGCTACATAGCATTCATAACTTGATTCAAGCCTCAAACCAAGTGCAAAAAAAATTATTTTAGAAATCAGTGTTTTTTTGTTTTGTTTTGTTTTTATTAATTTTTATTAGTGAAATACCATGAAGTACAGTTGTAGATTTACAAATTGTTGTGCTTGAGTTTCGATTATACAATGATCAAATACCCATCCCTCCACCAGTGCCCATTTTCCACCACCATGGATCCCTCCCACCCCCATCCCCCCCATCCTACCCTGCCTCTGTGGCAGGGCATTCCCTTTTGTTCTCTCTCTCCTTTTGGGTGTTGTGGTCTGCAAAAGAGGCATTGAGTGGCAATCATGTTCGGTCCATAGTCTACTTTCAACATGCATCTCCCATCCTGGGAGAATCTTCCAAACACCCTTTATTTGGTGCTCCCTTCTCTATCTGAGCTGCCCTTTCCCCTAGAATGCCCGACTGGTCTCTAAGCCATGGAGTAATCCTCCTGGTACTAGAAATCAGTGTTTTAAGTTAGGCACTAAGTTAAGGTCTCTAACACCAATATCTGGGACTATTTTTTTTTTTTTGTCTTTTTGGGTCATACACAGCAATGCTCAGGGATTACTCCTGGCAGTGCTTGGGGGACTATATGGGATGCTGGGGATCGAACCTGGGTCAGGTGCATGCAGGGCAAACGCCCTACCCACTATACTATCACTATGGCCCCTAGTTTTTATTTTTTAAAGATAGAAAATTCTACATGACTAGTGGAGAAAATCTCTAGAAACAGAAGAGAATGGGGGGAAGGTCTGGAATGGAATAAAAAGCACACCAGAGAGCTATGGGACAAGTTCACGAGAAACAATACAAGAATCATCAGAGTCCCAGAGGAACAGAAAAGGCAATTTAATCAAGAAATAATAAAGGGGCTGGCGCTGTCTGCCTTGCACAAGGCCCCCAAGTTCAATTCCTGGCTTCTCAAGCACCGCCAGGAGTAATTTCTAAGCGCAGAGCCAGGAATAGCCCCGAACATCACCGAGTTATGATCCAGAAACCAAAAAAGAAAAAAATGAAATAATATTTAAAGAAATGACAGATAAGAATTTCCCAGAATGAGGGTCAAAGAAATAGTAGAGCAGGTAAAGCACTACCTGCAGCAGGGTTCGGTCCCGGCATCCCATATGGCCCTCGAGACACTGCCAAGAGCAATGCCTAAGAGCAGAGCCAGGAGTAACCCCTGAGCATCGATGGTGTGACCCAAAAAACAACAATAACAACAACAAAAAGAAGTGATCCCTGAGCACAGAGCCAGGAGTAATCCCTAAGCAACACAAGGTGTGGAACCCCAAAACATAAATAAAACAAAACAGAAAAAAAATCACAGAGATTAGAAGAATTTAGTACAAAAACACAATGAACACATCATACTCGATCCAGCTATACTATCATTCAGATTTAAAGAAAGAATACTGAGCTTCAAGTGAAAAAAAGAGATAGACAAATGGGACGATCTTAAACTAAGAAGCTTCTGCACCTCAAAAGAAACAGTGACCAAAATACAAAGACAATCTACAGAATGGAAAAGGATATTCGCCAACTACACATCTGATAAGGGGTTAATTTCAAGGATATACAAAGTACTGGTTGAACTCCACAAAAAGAAAACATTCAACCCCATCAAAAAATGGGGAGATGAAATGAATAGAAACTTTCACAAAGAAGAAATCCGAATGGCTAAAAGGCACATGAGAAAATGTTCCACATCATTAATCATCAGGGAGATGCAGATCAAAATCACAATGACATATCACTTCACACCACAGAGACTGGCCCATATCCACAAGAACAAAAGCAACTGGTGCTGGCGCAGATGTGGTGAGAAAGGGACCCTCCTTCACTGTTGGTGGGAATGCCGACTGGTTCAGCCCTTTTGGAAAACAGTATGGATGATTCTCAAAAAATTAGAAATTGAGCTCCCATTTGATCCAGCAATACCACTCCTGGGAATATATTCCAGAGAGGCAAAAAAAGTATAGTCGAAGTGACATCTGCACTTGTTTGTTCATTGCAGCACTCTTTACAATAGCCAGAATCTGGAAAAACCTGAGTGCCCAAGAACAGATGACTGGTTAAAGAAACTTTGGTACATTTACACAATGGAGTACTATGTAGCTGTTAGAAAAGACAAAGTCACGAAATTTACATACAAGCAGTACTACATGGAAAGTATCATGTTAAGGGAAATGACTTTGAAAGATAGGGATAGACATAGAAAGACTGCATTCATCTGGGGAACATAAAGTAACAAAATAGGAAACTAACACCCAAGAATGGCCGAGATTAGTACCAGGAATTTTACTCCATGACTTGGAGGCCAACCACACATAGTAGGGGAAAAGGGAGCTCAGATAAAGAGGGGAACACCAAATAAAGGTGTTGGGAGGATCCTCCCAGGATGGGAGAAGCATGCTGAAAATAGACTACAGACCAAACATGATTGCCACTCAATGTTTCTTTTGCAAACCGCAACACCCAAAAGGAGAGAGAGAACAGAGGGGAATGCCCTGCCACAGAGACAGGGTGGGATGCGGGGGATGGGGGGTGGGAGGGATACTGGGATCCGTGGTGGTGGGAAATGGGCACCGGTGGAGGGATGGGTATTTGATCATTGTATAATTGAAACCCAAGCACAAAGATGTGTAAGTCTGCAACTGTACCTCATGACGTCTCACTATTAAAAAAATTTTTAATAAAAAAAAAAGAATACTGAGCTTCAAGACAAGACAAGCAACTGTCACTGTCAATGTCCTCCCGTTGTTCATCAATTTGCTCGCGCGGGACCAGTAACATCTCCATTGTGAGACTTGTTGTTACCGTGTTTGGCATATCGAATACGTCATGGGGAGCTTGCCAGGCTTTACCGCGTAGGCGAGATACTCTCGGTAGCTCGCCGAGCTCTCCGAGAGCAGCAGACGAATCGTACTTGGGTGGACGGTGTCGGCTGCGTGCAAGGCAAATGCCCTACCAGCTGTGCTATCACTCCAACCCTCACAACTCAGGGAATTCATAACCTTGCAACCAGTTTTGCAAGAAGCTTTAAAGGAGCTTCTTTCAAAAACAAGCAAACTTCTCAGCTCTTGGCATTGAGTACGGCATCAGCTCATGGGCTTATCACTACCCTCTACTAAATTAAGAAAGATTTATTTACTCCTAGCTTCCTAAAGGATTTTATACATTTTCAATAACCAATTAATGTTTTATTTACGTTGAATGTTCTAAGTCTGTGTTTTTTATCCATATTTTATTATAATTTTTTACAATCATGCTAATGCAGATACATAAGCATCATCTATAATATCTTCTAATATAAAGCCAATATTCTCTCTCTTAGGATAAAACACATTTTTAGATTTTTACGGGCCTATTCAGATTTTCTTTTTTTTCTCCTTTTTTTTTGGGGGGGGGGGAATCACACCTGGCAATGCACGGGGGTTATTCCTGGCTCATGCACTCAAGAATTACTCCTGATGGTGCTCAGGGGACCATATGGGATGCTGGGAATTGAACCTGGGTCAGCCACATGCAAGGCAAATGCCCTACCTGCTGAGCTATCGTTTTAGCCCCCGATTCAGATTTTCCCCTTCATTTTTCTTAATTCTCCTCACTCCAATTAAAATTTACATTTGTAAGACTTATGTATTTCATGTAAACTTTAAAATACACAAAATTATCCATTATATTAATTTTTTAATGATACACTTCTTAAAAAAAGAAAGTTTTTGAAAAAATGATTTACTTATTATTTATCATTAATTTACAATTTTGTGGAACTTCTGGAGATTATTCATCTAGACATATTCATATAGGCACAACCACCTCCTCAATAAAATAAAACTTCCCCATATGTGGGATAAAAAGAAACATGGTTGGGCTGGAGAGACAGTACAGTCAGCCAGGCTCTTGTCTTGCACCAGCTGACCCAGGTTGGATTCCTGACATCCCACAGGGTTCCCTGAGCACTTTCAGGAGTAATTCCTGAGTGCAGAGCCAGGAGTTACCCCTGAGCATTGTAAGGTGTGCTCTCCCCCAACCTTTCCCCACCAAAAAAAGAAAAAGAAACATAGTGAGGAAACAACAAAATGGTCAGTCATTAGAGCTGAAGACTTTGTCTCTAAAACTGAACTCCCATGAGGAAAGGGAGGAGATTTGGGAAGACTGGTGGAAGGAAGTGAGCTCTCTGGTGAGGAGTGTGGGATAGGGTGATATGCACGGAAAGTATGTTGTTCGTTTGGGGGTTTTTTGGTGTGCTTTTTGTGTCACACCCAGCAATGTTATCAAGTGATCAAGGGACCTTATGGGATGCCAGGGATCTAATCTGAATCGGTCACATGCAAGGCAAATGCCTTACCCATTATTCTATTGCCCCGGCCCTCTGTCAAGAATGATTGAAAGGACTGTAAATCCAAGTACCTCAATAAAAATGGTTTTTAAAAAAAAAAGGAAAAAACTCCTAAATTCTTAGCACACATGGTCTATTTGGTCAACACTGAGAATTTTAGTTTCTAAACGTACATTTTAAAAAACATTCTATTTATGAATCTGCAGTAAGCTAGAAATGATAAATGTGATGTTTAAAAAGAGGCCATAGTCACCTTTCCTTCTGGGATATCACATATCCATCCAGGACTCTGAGGGTTAGGCACCAGCTGACTATGTATGGTCGGTAGTCAAACCCTGGAATGGAAGGTGTCGCCATCACACAAGGATTGTTCATGATCGACAACTGTTCCAATTCTGTTAAGGATGCCAAAAAAGAGATCTGGAACAAAGGATATTTTTGATGAATGAAATTGGACTATTCAGTGCCAAGCATAGGGCTTCCACACATTTTTTGGCAGCTTGAGAATATAACGGTTTCCTTTTGTTCTGAAAAACTCAAAGAATAACACTCATCCACTGATTTACAAAATTTCAACAATATGGTCATCAGTCCATGTGGTACAAACTCCCTTGGTTTCTTAGCAGAGAGAACCCACTAAGAAAATATAATAGCAGCTAGGTAAGGTACACAGATAATTATTTATTATTATTATTATTATTATTATTATTATCATCATCTGCTTTAAGACAGCTGTCCCTCTCCTACCATTCTATTCCCAATGCAGTAACAACACAGTCACAAATGAAAACGTCTTAATGACCCACTGGCATTAAAAAAGTTATAAAGAAAAATTATGGCTCTTCTAGAGTCAAGGGTTTCTCATCTTGATTGCCATTTCTTCCAAGATGCTAACACTACAAAAGTAAACTCACAACTTCCACCTCTAACTCTCGTGAACTTGTCAGCAATCTGGATCTCATAAAATAGTATCAAATTTTACCTCATTTAAGTCCCGGACTTCATTTTCTGCCAAAGAAAGTATACCAAGACCTCTGGGTAGATAAGCAGGTGCCAATCTAAGAGAAGTGATGATGTTTCCATGTAAAAGCAGAGTCTTAAAAAGTAAAAATAACGAGTTATAATTGAGAAGACTACAGGCAAACTAGCCTATACTGACAATACTAAAGTGCTGCGCATAAAAATAAGGAGATTTATTCTTTTATACTTTTCATTGCATACAAATCAGAGGCTATCAACACTGGAAAGGTACTACATAAATTTTCTGGCCCAACTCTCCCTTTTAACATCTACACTGTAAGAGCAAGAGAATTTAAGGCTTATCCAAGAATACATGCTTGAGACAGCAACTAGCATGTTATGAGATTTAAAGTTATCAAAAATAAAACAATTTCTAATATGTTCATTTCCTTTTAAAATATCACACACACAGAAGATGAGAAAAGAGATGAAAACATTCATTAAAATAACCATATTTAGGGGGCTGGAGCAATAGCACAGCAGGTAAGGCATTTGCCTTGCACGCAGCCAACCCGGGTTCGATTCCCAGCATCCCCTATGGTCCCCTGAGCACCACCAGGGGTAATTCCTGAGCACAGAGCCAGATGTAACCCCTGTGCATCACTGGGTGTGACCCAAAAAGCAAAAATAAATAAATAAGTAAAATAACCATATTTAAGCAAACTTTTCAAAGACAAAGGAGAGAAATAACCCATAATTTGCAATTGCATTCTCTTTATAACTAAAAGCTTTAGGAAGACAGAATGTGCTACTTGCTGATGAAGCTGATTCAAACTGTCAGCAACAATGACAAATGAACCAAAAATTCTGAACATCCAGGATCCTAATTAGATAATCATGTCTTCATTTCAGAGGGGAAAAAATTGTTAATCACTTCTAATTTATCTCAATTTTCTTAGTATCTGGCCACATAAATTTCTTAGAGTAACCGATACTAAAAATTATTTCTGCCAGATGTAGGGAAAGTTGAGTTAGTAGAGTGACTCAACTTCTAAGTCCATCTTATACTAATAATACCCAATGAGGCAAAATAAAGAAAAAGCCTAGTAATGTCTTTTTCTGTTTTTGAGGTGCTGGCATCAAACCAAGGGTCTCATGCATACAAGGCGAATGGGCTCCACAAGTGATTTCTGCATTCTCAGCTCTACACAGATTTTTTTTTGAATTTTTTTTTTTGCTTTTTGGGTCACACCCAGCGATGCTCAGGGGTTACTCCTGGCTCATGCACTCAGGAATTGCTCCTGGCAGTGCTTGGGGGACCATATGGGATGCTGGGAATCGAACCTGTGTCAGCCATGTTGGCTGTGTGCAAGGCAAACGCCCTACCTGCTTTGCTATCGCTCCAGCCCCAGCTCTACACAGATTTTTGAATTTGTAATTATGTTACTGGATGCGCTGACCACCCCTCCTTTTTAAGTATAGATTAAGGAGCACCAAGAACTCAGTACCCATATTGGGAAATGCAAAGAAACTTCACCTAAGTAATAAAGCTCCAGAACTGTGGGCTACAAAGAGGGATGGGCGGGAGAGAAAGAGGAGGGGAAAGAGGGTGGGAAGAAGGGAGAAAGGGGAAGGGAGAAAGAGAGAGAGGGAGAGGGGGAGAGGGGTAGAGAGAGAGAGAGAAAGAGAATTGAAACCTAACCATGAACAACTTTTTAACTGTGTATCGCAGTGATTCAATTAAAAAAAAAAAAAACCTGGGGGCTAAAAATAAAAAAAAAAGAGCTCCGTCGTGGCTGGAGACACAGGATGGAGGCCACAGCACTTGCCGTCGCACACTACTGAGCCCAGTTTTATCCTGAGCACAAAATTTGGGTGCCCAAGATCTGCCAGGAGCGATCCATGAATACTGAGTAAGGAGTAAGCCCTGAGCACTGCCACATAGAACCCTCCCTCCGCCTTCAGAAAAGAAATAAAAAGTGCTACCAGATACACATGCTTATAGTTGTATTTTTAAGTACTTGTCATGGAACTCAGGTCCTACCACATGCAATGCAAAAGCTATGTTCCCGGGCCGACAGATTATTTTTAATTAGTTATTTGATCATTTCCCTTTACAATCAATGCTATATGCTACCTTCTTTTTCTTTTCTGTTCTCTTGCAGAACCAGGGATCAAACCCAAAGTCTGGCATGATGTTTATTTTTTGACCCCATTACTGAGCTGCTGTACAATCTCCCCATCCCACAGAATGTTTTTGTTACTACAGTAAAAATTCTGAGAGTACCAGAGAACTATTGACCCCACTGGTGACTCACACTTCAATGTGGTTTGATTAACACAAATTAAAGGATCATCTTAAAGTGAATTTACAGTTTAATTTAAGGATAGTACTGCTTCAATAAATTTTTAATACCTATTACCCAAATAAACAAATACCAGAAATACTAACTGTAAAAAAAGGGAAAAAAAGGAAAAGAAAAAGAAAAAGCTTGGGATGTAGCTTAGTGGTAGAGAACTTGCCTTGCATGTGTAAGGTTCAAGGTTCAATCCCTAGCATCCCCCCCAAATATAAAAAGAAAGAGCAGAAAACAAACTTAAATTTAGAAATAATTTTTCCCAATTTCACAAACATGTTATGTACCATTTAACTAAATTTGTGAGTATTGATTAGATGGGCATAAAGGAAATTTCATCATTTTCAGAGAATAAAGATTAAGCTTAATTACAACAACAATGACCAGGTTTTATATAGCACTGTAGTACTGTCCTCCCGTTGTTCATCGATTTGCTCAAGCGGGCCCAGTAATATCTCCATTGTGTGACTTGTTAGAGTGTTTGGCATATTGAATACGTCACGGGTAGCTTGCCAGGCTTTACCGTGCAGGCGAGACACTATCGGTAGCTTGCCGGTCTCTCCAAGAGGGGCGGAGGAATCGAACTCGGGTCAGCCGGGCCGGCCGTGTGCAAGGCAAACACCCTACCCGCTGTGCTATCACTCCAGCCCAGGTATATAAAGTTTCATATTTTAATTTCTAGTACTCTCAGAATATTTACGGTAATAACAAAAACAATCTGCGCAATGGAGAAATAGTACAGCAGTCCAATCCCCAGCACCACCAGGAGGGATCACTGAGCACAGAGTCAGGAGAAAGTCCAAGGCACCCCCAAGCGTGGCCCCCAAACAAACAAAAATCACCACAATCTGTTTTTCATGTAAGGACTGATGTTAGGCCAATCCTATCTCTTTCTCTTGAAATTTGATTTTCTTTGTTTATTGACTGTGTGGCTGGGAATCAATCCACCAGACTCACGAATATGCAGATTGTGCTCGACCTCTGAGCCACATCCCCAGCTCTCAGTATTGTATGTCTGTTTGTTTTTGGACTATACCCAGCAGTGTTCAGGAACCACTCCTGGCAGACTCAAGAGAACATATGGGTTGTGGGGGAGCGAGCTCGGACTGGTCGTGTGCAAAGCAAGCACACCACCCGCTGTACTATCACTCTGGCCCCTTTCTTGGTATTTTAGTATAAAAATTCAGAACAAGTAAGTACACTTACCTTAAGTGATACTAATTTAGATAGATCACCTATCTGGGGTATATTATTGTCTGATAAATCAAGGTGCTGTAACGCTGTGCAGCAATTAATTTGTTCCATTGCCTATTAAAAAAGAAAAAGACCATCACATTATTTCGTGCACACAAAATCAGAGACATTATTACCAAGCACTACAAGGAGTGATCCCTGAGCAGAGAGGCAGAAGTAAACTCTGAACACCAGTGGGTATAGTTTAAACCACCCCAAACACCTCCCATACACCAAGTAATAACCTGATAGAGGTTACTATGTAGCAAGTTCCACTTTTATTATCCCTCTAACAGAAGGAAGTTGCCAAGGGCTCATATCCCAGATAGGGACAGTTTGAAGAAGCCTAGTGATGATATGTGACACTCAGTATAGCACAGAGGTCATAGTTAAAAGTGGGCCCAAACTTGGGGCGAGAGCCATAATACAGCAGGAAGGGCATTTGCCTTGCTCGAAGCCAACCCAGGTTTGATTCCCAGCATCCCATAACGTCCCCTGAGCACCACCAGAAGAAATTCCTGAGTGTAGAGCCACCTGATCATTGAAAGATGGAAAAAAGTTATTAACTTCATCTAGATTACAGCGCTACTAAGTGGTGAAAGAAGGACTAGAATCTGGGTTTCCTTATTTTTAAAACCATATATAAGGGCCAGAGAGATAGTACAGCAGGTAGGGCATTTGCTTTGCATGTAGTCAATAAGGGTTCAATCCCTAGCATCCTATATGGTCCCTTGAGCACCACCAGGAGTAATTCCCGAGCACAGAGCCAGAAGTAACCTCTGACCATCACTGGTGTGGCCCAAACTAAAAACAAAAAAAAATTTTAATAAAAATAAAACCATATATAATCTTCACTATACCTAAAGACATACTTAACCCTATTTTATTTGATGTAGTCTTCCTGGGACCAGAGAGATAGTCCAGTAAGTAAAGGCACTTGCCTTGAAAGCAGCTGACTCAGGTTCAATTCCCAGCATCCCATATGATCCCCCAGCACCACCAGGAGTAATTCCTGAGTACAGAGTCAGGAGTAACCCCTAAGCATCACTGGGTGTGACCCCAAAAATAAAAAAAAAATCCCTGGAGGTGCCCTAGCAATGGCAGAATGGCCTGGGTAATCCTGAGCATTCCACACCTTCACCCGCTGGCATGGAAGTGCTGGGAGTTGGCTGAGAAAGACTAAGAAAGACTCAACACCACCTGGAGGCCAAAATAAATACAAAAAAAAAAGAATGGGCTGGAGCAATAGCACAGCGGGTAGGGAGTTTGCCTTGCACGAGGCTGACCTGGGTTCGAGCCATAGCATCCCATATGGTCCCCCAAGCACCACGAGGAGTAATACCTGAGTGCAGAGCCAGGAGTAACCCCTGAGCATCTATGGGTGCGAGCCAAAAAAAACAAAAAAAACAAAAAAAAAAAAAAAAAAAAAAAACCTTGCTATAAACATGGAAACATAAAAAAAAAAAAGCATTTGGAAAGCTGAAATGACAGTACAGCAGGCACAGTGCTTGTTCTGCATGTGACTGACCAGGGTTTGAACCCCAGCACTACAAATGATTCCCTGAGCCCCACCAGAAGTGATCCATGAGCACAGAGCCAGGAGTAAGTCCTGAGAACTGCTGGGTGTAGCCTAAAAACCAAACAAAAAATATTTTTAAAATAATAATTATTATTATATATATAATTTTGCATATGTTTCAAGTGAGTGGGGTTTGATTTGCTTTTTTTTTTGTTACTTTTGCTTGCCAGGCTCTCCGAGAGGGGCGGAGGAATCGAACCCAGCTCATCCGGGCTGGCTGCGCGGAAGGTAAATGCCCTACTGCTGTGCTATCGCTCCAGAGTGGAGCGATAGCACAGCGGTAGGGTGTTTGCCGTGCACGCAGTCAACATGGCCGACCCGAGTTCTATTCCTCCGCCCCTCTGAGAGAGCCCGGCAAGCTACCGAGAGTATCTCGCCCGCACGGCAGAGCCTGGCAAGCTCCCCGTGACATATTAGATATGCCAGACACAGTAACAACAAAGTCTCCAATGGAGACGTTACTGGGCCCACTCGAGCAAATTGATGAACAACGGGAGGGCCTTTACCTTTTTTTGTTGTTGTTGTTTTGGTTTTTATTTTGCTTTTTGGGTCACACTCAAAGATGCTCATGATTATTCCTGGCTCTGCACTCAGGAATTACTTACATGGTGCTCAGGAGACCATATAGGATGCTGGGAATCAAACCTAGGTTGGCCATGTACAAGGCAAACTCCCTACCTGCTGTACTATCACTCTGGCCCCAGGTTTTTGGTTGTTTTGTTTTATGTTTTTTAAACTTTTGGACCACACCTCAAGTGTGCTGCTGGGGGGTCAGGGTGCAGAGGAGCTACCCCCTGCTTTAGGTGAAAGTTTGCTCCCAGCTGTGCCACGGTCACCACACGGTGCATGGCATCAATAGCTCCAGAGCTTTTAGACCATCTTCCCCACCTCCACCACCACAACTCTAGGTGCTCTTGCTGTTTCTCAGAGAGAAAAGTGGCATCTGGGATCAAACCAGGGTTAGCCTCAAGCAGGACAAGTGTCTTAACCCCTGGACTAACTCTCTAGTCCCTCAGAGTGAGTTTTTTTAAGTTTGTATTAACTAGTAGTATCCCTGAGCAATTTGGAGACGTTACTGGTGCCTGCTCGAGCAAATCGATGAACAACGGAAGGACTGTGCTACAGTGCTACTTATTTCTATATTTCTGCATTGGGGAGGGAGGGGTACACACCCAGCAATGCTTGTGGCTCTGCACTCAGGAATCACTCCTGGCAGTGCTCAGCGAAGCATATGGGATGCCAGACATGGAACCAGGGTCGGCCACAAGCAAGGCAAACACCCAACCCTCTGCACTGTTGCTCCAGCCTCTTCCTACTTCTTTAATTTTTTTTTGTTTTAATGAAACTTTTGCAAATTAAAAAAAATAATAATTTCTAAAAACCAGAAGTACTTCACCTTGAGATTATTTCCTGCCAAGTTCAGCCATTCCAAATGTACCAGTTCTTTCAGTCCTTCCACATAGCCAATACTATTATGAGGCAAATTTAACACCCGGAGTTGGGTCAGTTTAGCCACACCCATCATCCGCACCAGCCGATTATTAGCCACTGACAACTATGGAAAGCAAACATATCATTATTCCAAGAAAAAGTTGCGTGTACATATAAAACTTCATAAGCATGCTGAAAGTAGACTATAGACCAAACATGATTGCCACTCAATGCCTCTTTTGCAAGCCACAACACCCAAAAGGAGAGAGAGAACAAAAGGGAGTGTCCTGCCACAGAGGCAGGGTGGGATGGGGGGATGGGGGTGGGAGGGATACTGGGATCTGTGGTGGTGGGAAATGGGCACTGGTGGAGGGATGGGTGTTTGATCATTGTATAACTGAAACCCAAGCACAAAAATTTGTAAGTCTACAACGGTACCTCATGGTGTCTCACTGATAAAAAATATATATATATAAAACTTCATATTAGGGTGGTTAAAAAACATTTAATGTACAAACATTGCCAAATATACAAACTTAGCTTGAACTTTTCATATATATTATCTAAACATTATTTGGTGTCATTATTAGTTTATTATTATTGCTGTTCCAATCATGGAAAAATACAGATAAAGCTGAACAATCTGGTTTCCTTCTACTACTATAGAGAACACATTTTTAACACAGAAACTATTTCAGAAATGTAAGGTCCATAAAAATAGTGTCCTGCACTGGATGATCTCACTTTTCTATAGCATACAAGGGAATGCAAGATATCAAAGCAGGGATACCCAGATTATTCTGGACTCTAAATCACAGAAATGTGGACAGGGGAGGAAAGATACTGAGGGAAAGATACTGAGAGGCAGACAGGAGGTAACGGGCAAAAGCAAGGGCCTGGGTATATCATGTTGAATCACAAGTCAGAAACACCGTAAAGCACAAGATCCGAACTACAACCAAATTTTAAAACATGTCTATCAAGGAAGGAGGCATGCTCGTCGGTGAGAGGGAAACTGGGGACATTGGTGGAGGGACTGTAACCCTGTATGCCTGAAACTCCACTATGAACAACTTTGCAAATCACAATATTGGTTTTAATAAAGAAATATTGTTTAAAATAGGATCTTTGTACGAAATCAGTCAAAATCTAGAACAGTGCCAGGCACATAACAAGGGCCCAATAAACATGTGCTGAATCAATCAATGAGCCTATTATGAGATAAGATGTTTTCTAGAACAGTAGTTTGTAAAAATAACACAATGACAGTATTTTGTCAACATACAGTATTTTCAATGGGGCGGAGAGATAGTACAGCAGGTAGGGTGCTTGCCCAACACAAAGGGTTCCAGCCCCAGCATCTCATATGGTCCCTCACGTACCACCAGGAGTGATTCCTGAGTGCAAAGCCACAAGTAACCAGAACATTGCCAAGTGTGGCCCAAGAAACAAAACAAAACAAAAACGAAACAAAACCAAAACGTTTTCTTTTTTAACAATGTTTTTCCTAGCAAATATCAGGAAAGAGAACTACCATTACCAAGATAAGAAATATCATTTAATACGTAGGGGAACATTTACTGCTTTCCAGACCTAGAAAGCTACTTTCTGCTGGATTATTTTATTGTTTTGTTGTTTAATGATAATAAAATGGTCCTACATAACTATTTCCCCAAATAATGATACCAACCTGTATTAATCTTCTGTATTTCTCAAGATTTTCCAGTTTAATAATTTGATTTTTATCCAGAATCAAAGTATGAATATCAACTTCACAGGGTAAGTTTGGACTTAATTTCTGTAGTCCCTGGCCTGACCAATTTACCACTGATCCTTTAAAAGAGAAGGGAAATTATTAATAAATACTGGAGCATAAGGATGGAATTATACTCATAAAAATCCCTGTACAATGATAGTCAGGAAACACTGAAGCATATTATATATCAAGATTTAAAAACTAAAGCAATCGAACTTAAAATGACCAGACTGAAATTATTCACTTTCTCCCAGTTATATCAAATTCAAACCAGATCTGCAATATTCTTCTCAAGCTTCAATAATTCTCTGGAATTCCTCACATTAACCTCCAGATTCTGCACCAAGATAATAACACAAAAAATATATGGAACTAACCTTTCAACCTGCTTACAACCCAAGTACCAGTAAAGTGTTCAATTTTGAAAATCACAGCTCAGTTGACTGAGATACAAAATGAGAATACACTTAATTCATTAAATTGATGTAGGTATGAAAAAAGAAACTATATGAATCCAATATTTACCCATTTCAGGCATCAGACACCCAACAAGCCACTTTAGTGTAACACATGTTCAAATCTGAGCTCCACTATTATTCACTGCGCTGAGGACCACTGCGCTGAGGACCAATTACAGATTTGGGGGGGCTGAGTAAAGCAGGGTTTCATTTGTCTTTTTTTTTTGTTTGGGGACACCCCCAGAGGTGTTCAGGACCTACTCCAGGCTCAATGCTCAGGGATCATTCTAGGCGATGTTCAGCGGGGACCATCTGGGGTGCTGGACATCTAATCCAGGTTAGCCATGTGCAAAACAAGCACTCTACCCGCTGTATAAAAAAAGGAGTTTTTTTTCACTTAGTAAAATGTGATTGGAAATAACGCCTATCTTAAAAGGTTTGGAACATGAAATAGCGTATGAAAAGCACTCCCAACAGCGACTATTTCACAAAACGCGTTCCACCTGTCAACTGCTATCTTTGTCTACAGAGAACCAGGTGGGCTGGGGAGGTGGAGCTTACCAGAAGCAGCTGCAGGGGGCCGGGCACAGACAAACTGCCAATTTCTATTTTGTTGCCAGATTAAGATTGCTGCGAGAAATAATCAAAGGGGCTTGCACACCTGAAGGGTTTCAATGTTTGTTTGTGTGTTTGTTTCCTATTGCCTAACGGCTCCCTGCAGTTGAGGGGTGAGGGATGCTCTGAGAAGTTGATGAAATCTCCGTTCTGGACCAACCAAAACGCACAACCTTTGTTCACAACTCCAAAGGGGTCGTCGGACCCCCAAGGGGCTAGCGGCCCGCAGGTAGAGTCTGACCTTCCCTGTGGACACAGGCCTCCACCCTCGGCCCTAGCCCGACCCAGACCACTGCTGCCGAGCCTGGAGCCGTAACCAAAACAAAGGCGCTGGGCTCGCCCCCGGTGGCTCCTAGCCAAGGCGGCACAACTCCCGTGCTCGGCGCAGGCAGCTTCAACACCCGAGCCCAGGACCCCGTCTGCAGAAAGAAAGGCGGGTTCGAGGAGAATTGCGGATTCGAGGTCACCCCGCTGCCTCTGCATCACCGGACACTTGCAAGAAGGGGCTCCACGTCAGTTTGGGGAGCTCTGTTTGAGAGACGGTTTCGGAACGTACTTGGACCCCTACTGGGGAAAGAGGTCGCGAGAAGCCAAAGGGGCAGACGCTGCTGCTTCCACTTGGGTACCAGGAACCCAAAACTAAAGCTAGGACAGGTCAACTCCTTCTGAAACCCACCGCCCGGCCAGTCTCCGGAGCGCGGGAGCCGGGGCGCCCGGCCTCGCAAAGGCTCCTGGGTGCTGTAGTCCCCTCCGCTCCGGACTAACTCCGGAACTGCAGAGCAGGGCCGCACTAAGGACTACAACTCCCAGAGGGCAGCGCGCCTCCGCGACGCCCACGACCCCCTCGAAAGAATTGGTTTAGAACTGCACCCCGAAAACCAGGCTTCATCTCGCCACCAAGCTACTACTTCATTCAGCTTCAGGGAGTGAACCCGGGGACCCAGGGATGGAAATAGTCTCACCTTCTCCAGGAGGCAAAGCCGCGTCGACGCGCGCCACCGCCATACTTCCCGCTTGCTAATAATGCCAAGCAACCGACCTCCAGCCGCTCTGTACTTCTTGTAGTCGGGAAGAGGAAACCGGAAACTACAACTCCCAGCATGCACTGGCACCCTGACACCCAATTAGGCGTAGGCAGCCAATTGGCTTGCAAAGCTAGGGTTAGAATTCCCGGTGCGCTCAGGAGCCCTGCTGAAGTCTCAGGTGTCACCTGGTCAGTGAATTGTACTGCTGGCTGATCATTTCACTCTCTTTTTCAGGTCCTCGCGAAATTTGACGCTTGTACCATCTGGATGATTATAGGTTGTTATTTAATACAAACCGAATTTGAGAGCTCATTGCCAGAAGTCTATTGGATGCTGTCTGACAATTCTGAATAAGTTGCAAGACTTAATCTGTACGATAGGAAACACCAGGCCAATCTTATAGGATTAATTAAAGAAAGCTGAAACACCTTTTATATATTACTTTTAAGTGGTTGTTCTTGAACATTTAGCAGAACTCTTTAATTTTTTTAATTGAATCACTATGAGATAGACCCTTACAAAGCTGTTTATAATTAGATTTCAGTCTTACAGTGTTGAACACCCATCCCTCCACCAGTGTACACTTGCCAGCACCAGTGTCCCCAGTTTCCCTCCCATCACCCTTCCCCATGGCAGTATGACTGGCACTTTTCTGCTCCTTCTCTCTCTCTCTCTCTCTCTCTCTCTCTCTCTCTCTCTCTCTCTCTCTCTCATACTGTTGTTTACAATACAGATACTGAAAGGTTATCAGAAATATCCCTTTGCCTACTTTTAACACTCAGTTCCTGTACAACGTGATCATCTCCAGCTATTATTTTGGCAGAACTTTTGACCTAGGTACCAACCTACAATCTTTACAGCGTTTACAAAATGTGCTTATTCTCCATTACAATTGGGCATGAGGGATGGTTCTTTTACAGGGATGGTTCATGTTACAAAATGCTCTTATTCTCCAGACAAAAAAATTACAATGCATAACTTGAAGTCTATAAGATTTCACTATGAATAGGCAATGCATTTTGATTGAAATCCTAGTGTGATTATAAGTATAAATTCAGTAAGATTTCAAGGACTGTAGAAAGAAAGGGTAACTGCAGATTCAGGAGAAACTTGAAAGTTAAACAGAACCAGGGCCTAAAAGACAGGCAGACCCTAAATAGCTTAGTGGAAAATGAAAATACATCAGCATGGTCTGGAAGTGGGAGTGGGTTATAGGAAGGTGGAAGTGAGAAACGAAGCTAAAAACATTACAGCTGAGCATAGGGGGTTCTAATTTCTATCACCCAGTCCTCATGCAACATTTATTCTAAATACCCCTTTTTCTTTTTTAACTAAAGTGATTTGAAGTAGTTTCCATATTATTGTTACATGCTTAAAATGCTCTTCCATCATCTACACCACCAGTGTTAAAAACCCTTCACCACTGTCCCAAGGTCCTTTCTGCCCTCTTTCATCCTCCTATACACACACACACACACACACACACACTTTGCAACCTCAGTTGGCTGTTCTGTTGGCAATGGGTTTTGTGAACAAATCTCTTTTGTGAACAAAAGTCCTTTCTTAAACAGCAATGTTCAATGCTCAAGGTTACCCCTGACTCTGTGCCTAGGAATCACTCCAGCAATGTATGGGGGGGCCATTTGGGATGATCATGCAGGGATTGAACCTGCATCAGCAGCATGCAAAGCAAGCACCTTACCCACTAAGTGCTCCAGCCCCTATCTTTCCTTTTTTTTTTAAGCTTTTATTTCTAATGGTTGTAGTCTGAAGATAAATTGCCTAGTTCTGAAGACCGAACTAACACTTTTTTTTTCATTTTTTCCCATAACCAGGAGACATCTCCCTTATATAGAAAACTCAGTCTTTACATGGAGATGTAAGAACAAAGCAAGCCTGAATGGCTGCTTCCTGCTGACATCAGAATGATGAGTATCTCTTTAGTCAAGGTGGGAGAAAGGGCTTACCAGTTTCTCTGATTTAGCAAGATCATCTCCCTACTTGGGAAGGGGCATCCTGGAAGTCCAGACAGTATGTGAGGAGCACAGTTTCTGAAAGTTTATAGCAATAGAATAATCAGATTGTCCGTTTCATCTGACTTGAGACCTTGAGAAGAGCCAAATGATAGGTTTTATTGAGAGGCAAAGCTCTTCAAAGGAGCCGCCAAATGTTCCTGAGAGCCATCCCTCATGCCCAAAGGAGCCATCTTCCTTTCAAAACCACACCACAAGAGTTGGAGCCATAGTGTAGCAGGTAGGACACTTGTCTTGCACACAGCTGACCTAGGTTTAATACCTGGCAGCATATATGGTTCCCCAAGCCCAGCAGGACTGATCCCTGAGGGCAGAGCTAGGAGAAAGCCCTGAGCACCACCAGGTGTGACCTCAAAACAAAAAATAAAATTACACCACAAAAAAACATTCTTTAGCTGAGATTAGTACCAGGAATTTTACTCCATGGCTTGAAGGCCAACCACACATGCTAGGGGAAAAGGGAGCTCAGATAGAGAAGGGAACACCAAATAAAGGGTGTTGGGAGGATCCTCCCAGGATGGGAGAAGCATGCCAAAAGTAGACTATAGACCAAACATGATTGCCACCCATTGTCTCTTTTGCAAACCACAACACCCAATAAGAGAGAGAGAACAAAAGGGAATGCCCTGCCACAGAGGCAGGGTGGGATGGGGAGGATGGGGGGTGGGAGGAATACTGGGATCCGTGGTGGTGGGAAATGGGCACTGGTGGAGGAATGGGTATTTGATCATCGTATAATTGAAACCCAAGCACAAAAATTTGTAAGTCTGCAACAGTACCTCATGATGTCTCGGTCATGGTCATGGTCCTCCCGTTGTTCATCGATTTGCTCGAGCGGGCCCAGTAACGTCTCCATCATGAGACTTGTTGTTACTGTGTTTGGCATATCGAATACGTCACGGGTAGCTTGCCAGGCTCTTGGAGAGGGGCGGAGGAATCAAACTCGGGTCAGCCATGTTGGCCACTTGTAAGGCAAACGCCCTACCGCTGTGCTATCACTCTAGCCCTCTCACTAATAAAATTTAAAAAAAAAAAAACATTCTTTTGTAGAGTTAGAAGATGGCTCATATGACTGAAGCATGTGTTTTGCATGTCAGAACCTTTTTTAAAAAAAAATTAAGGTATTCTTTTGTGCTTTAGATACAGCTTTTAAGTTAAAAACAAATTGTTGGCATATATGCTGCCCGAGCTTGTGCTACTTGCATGTGCTGCTTGTGCCTTCGTGGTCGAGCACATGTGATGTCTGATCATGTGTTGCCCGCATCTCCCCTCTTGAGATGTGTACTTTTATGCTTTCGTATCTAATTCTGGTATGTGTGTAGAGGCTCTCTCCATCCTTGGAGAAGCCCACTTTCTCTCTTGAGTACCCCTCTCTCTCTCTCTCTCTCTCTCTCTGTGTGTGTGTGTATGTCTCTCTCTCTCCCCCTCCACACCTTAAAAAACCCTCTAAATAAAATCTATTTATGTCAGAAAAAAATAATAAAAAAATAAAAACAAATTGTTACATGTTAAATTGCTTCATCTTAGGGATCACTATGACAATGATAGTTGGAAGGGATGATTCTGGACAGGAGATGTGTGCTAAAAGTGGGTAAAGGACCAAACATGATGGCCTCTATGTATATGTTATTGCAAACCATAATGCCCAAAAGGAGATGAAAAGGGACTGCCAGAGAGCAGGCTGGGGGTGAGGGTAGGAGATGGCAGGAGGGATACTGGGGACATTGGTAGTGGAAATTGTATACTGGTGGAGGTATGGGGTGTTGAAACATTGTATAAATGAAACCCAATCTTGAAACCGTATCTCATAATAATCCAATTGAAAAATAACTAAATAAATTTTAATCAGCTAATTTTTAAAAACCACATAGATATTTCCATGAAGTAAATTAGTGGGAGTGTCTGGGAATCAATGAAGACATTTCCAAGGGGCTGGAGCGATAGTACAGCAGGTAGGGCATTTGCCTGGCATGTGGCCAACCTGGGTTCAATTCCCAGCATCCCACATGGTCCCCTGAGCACGACCAGGAGTAATTACTGAGTGCAGAGTCAGTAGTAACCCTTGTGCATTTTTGGGTGTGACCCAAAAAGCCAAAAAAAAAGGACATTTCCAATGTCTTTATTAAAAATAAAAACTTTTAAAAAATGTATTGAAAAAATTTAAAAATTAAATAAATAAATAAATAGTTTCATCTGTATATATTCTGCACATTTTCATCAGTTTAGAGTATTCCAATTACCAACACTATGAACTGACACGATGACACTTTTGGACATGCCGAGTCCCATGAGAGACTTTATTTCCTTCTTATCAGCACAGCTTACCTCACCCCTATAAGAGCAGACCACCCTGACTCAGGGCTCCCTGTGTAATTTACCTGCTCACTGCTACCGGCATGATCTAAGTGAAAACAGAAGAACAGTTTCTTATTCCCTGATCTAATTTCCCCCTGGAAATTCAACATTTGAGGGCCACCATAATTTGACCCCACACTCCTTCCCACCATTCATTTCTCTAATTTTTGTCTCATGTTTTTGAGAGAATGATAAAAACAAACGGTTTCAAAAAGGTCAAACTGCTCATAGAACAAGGATGAATTGAAAAGTAATACAGTGGAAGGAAGGAGACTTGTAATAGTGGATGCTAACCTTTAACAGAACAATTTCGAGAGTATTATTTACAAGTCTAGATAACATAAAGTTAAGGGACTAAGTAGCCAGGAAACTAGAACGTCATTGAATAGTGCAATTTATCTTGACAAAACAAGGAGAGTTTATTAAATAAGGTAAGAATTTACCCTTTAAGGAAGTAAATATAATTTCCAAAGTTTTAAAACTAAAAAGTTGTTAATATACACAATGTTGACACTCATCTAAAGAAACATAGTAGGGGAAGTACTAACTCCCAAAGGCAATAGAAACAAAGAGCAGAAGAACTGATCCTTAGTAGGAAACTGACCACTTAAGGGAGGGGACAGGTCAGGGAAGGACCCACTGCCACTGTGATAGACAGACGTG